TATATATATATAAAACATGTATTTATGTCATACATATGTAAACCTGCCCCCAGCAGCTGGTCCTCCACGGCCATGCGAAGGCAGGGCTGTTCCCAGCCCCTCTCCCCTGCTCAGCCCATTGCCCCAGCCCAGCTGCACCCGCAGCAGCTCACACCATCTCTCTCCCCACAGGATACTCAAGCCCCCTCAAAGAAGTCCCCCCGGAGAAGTTCAATGTCACCGCCATCCCAAAGGGCTACCGCTCCCCATGGCAGGAGCTCCTTGGTGACAAGGACAACGCTGTGCATAGCGAGATCCAGCCGCCCATGAGACCCTTTCCATGGGATTTCAGGAGCTTCAACAGGTAATGTTGGCCGGGAGCCAGCACCACCAGCCTGTCCAGCCCTCAGCCAAACCCTTCAGCCTCAAGAAGCACCCACCATCCTGCCAGGGAAGGACAATGGTCCGTGCCCTTGTTATACACCACAGGAGAGCAGCAAGAGCCCAGGTCACTCTTTTCCTGGTCAGGAGCTCCTCCGTGGCTCCTGTGCAAAGATCCCTGCCTCCAGTAGCTCTCCAATTCTCCTCTCAGCTCCACCACAGGCTCACACAGCCTTAAGCAGTTTGATCTCACTGGGTAACCTCAGGGATGAAACTCGGGAGGACTAGTTCTCATACATGTGGTCCTGGAGAAAGAATCACCCCTGTTCCCAGCTGGGCTCAGCTCTGGGCTGGGTGGAGGAATGGCACAGACAGTGCCAAGTCTCTCTCCTAATTTCCTGAAGGTATTCAAGCAGCTGCTGAAAGCAGTGGGGGTATAAGGTTAATCTTCCCACAAGATGCTAAGAGGTCACCAGATTCCTTCCAAACAGCACCTGCTTGAGATGGAAGCCTCCAGGCCGGGGAGTCTGTGGTGGATGAGCCTGGCAAGGTCCATGCCCGTCTCTGCAGCTGTGCCGTGGTGCCTGGCGAGGTGCACAGCCCGAGGCTGCAGCACACTCAGCCCACCCATGTTTCCCCTCCCCCACCAGTGGGAGCATGGCAGTGCACTGGTCTGCACTGGAGTGGGGCTGAGGGGGAGAGGGGACGGGGTTAACAGAAGGGACAAGAACCCATGGGCAGCAAAGGGGCTATGTTAGCTCTTCCCTCAGGGTCTTCTTCCCAGTTCTTCAGCCATCTCCAGCTTTCCTGGAGCTGGAACATCCGAGGAGGTGCCGTAAGGGGAGAACAAGGAGCTGCTGCAGACGCTTGGCTCTTTTCTTTCAACTTTTAGCCATGTTCCTGCCTTGGCATTTATTTATGGAGAGGGACTGAAGCAAGGGCATGTTTCTGAATAATGCTTTACCCCGTACCATTTCTCCCCTCTCACACGCTGCCTTTCTATTTAAAGTCCTGAACTGTTATTTAATACAGATGGATTCTAATTTAACACCAAGCCTCTCGCCACCTCCTCTAATTCTTCACTGAGGCATGACGATTCACAGAGCCAATCTGCTTTTAACTGGGGTTTTCATGATCTTCCAAGCTGTTGGTTTTTAAATCACTTCTCAGTTCATCAAATACCAAACGGCAGAAAAACAAGCTTTCTGGAACAAAGCAGCGAGGGAGAAGCCAGTGGGCTTGCCTAAAGCTAGGTGAATCCTGGCACAGCTCAGGTCACAGGGCAAGGGCAGACTCACTGTCTCAACAGCATCTGCGTTAAAGCAGACTGATTTATTCCCAGCTTTAAACGTTCAGGCTGTGATGCAAAGACCTTCCGCCACCTTGTTAAGGTGTGCTGCCTTAAGAGAAAGCAAAAAACCAAGCTTTGAGAAGGATGAGCCTTTCCCAGAAAAGAGAAAATTTCTGGAACAATCTTCTCTCATTTACCTTCACCACCATTATTTCTTCTCTGTTGCAAAACACTGCCACGTTACTCATGTTCGAGCAGTGCTTCCCAAAGCAAACATTCCCAGCTCAGCCTCATTGAGAGCTCAGCCTCCATACGCCGCTCCAAAACCAACATTCTTGGCTTTTCAGGGGCTGGCACTCTCTTCCCCGATCTCTTTCCACATTTCTCCAGAAAGGGATGACAGCTCTTGCCCCCGCACTGCTCCTCCCGTTACTCATAGTTCAAGAGAAGCTGTCCCAAAAGGCAGGCTGGAGCCAGGGCCAAGAGCAAGACATTTGCCGGCACACGTGTGGGAGCAATCAGGAGGCAGCACTGTCAGCCCTCTGCAGAACACATTAGCTGCAGACCAGTCACTGCCTAAAGAGCAGGGGGCTCGTCACCCTCACCTGCTCTCAGTCTAACCCCTGTCACATGCTAAACATCTCTGCTGCTGTTGGCAGAGCCCATCAAGAGAGAAGACAGTAAAGGTAGGAACAGGCTTCCTCCCTCCCCTGCACAGCCACCAATGCTCAGGCACCAAACCTCGCTCTCCAAGTGCCAAAGCTTGAGCTGAGGTTGGCTCTGTACACGAGAAACACCTCTCTGGGCTAGCAGAGACTCTAACAGCATCCTGCGGAGGAAGAGGAGGGTTGTCACTTGCTACAGGCATTGCTAGCCTGCTGCTGGGCTCATAGCTGGGAAGTCCAGACCTGCTTTTACAACCTGCACCACCTCTCCTTGTGATGTTCTGAGCCTGTTTTCTCTTGTGCCACAGGAATCCCACCCCGTATGACAAAGCCCTGGTCAGCGACCTGTTCTCTGTGCCTGCCATGGACCTGGATCACCTGAGCGTCCTGGAGGTGATTTCCCACAGACCCAACTTCAACAGAGCTGCCCAAGGTTGGGTGCGGATCCTACCGGAGAGCGATGAGCTGTAGTACGCACGCTCCCTTCCCCATCGCCACGGCTGCTTTTCTCGCTAGACTCAAACATACTTCGCACGGTAGGAGAGAGGGGAGTGAGTATTCTTTGTGAAAGCTAAGCTAGTGGTCTCGGGTTGTCATCCTCCTCCATGGGAGTTGGACAAGCTCAAGTCTGGGACCATTTTGAGTTCCCCTCGTACCAGCCATTGTCACAGGGGCATTTAGTGCTAAGCTAACCAGACAAGTTCTCATCGTTAGGGCGAGCAGAGCCCCGTAAGCTCCGGTACAGCCTGTCCTCTTCCCTGCCTCGCAGAAAATGGCAGGACCACCAGCTGCAACACACCAACCTGCCTCACTGCTTCTTCACCAACACACAAGACCCGCTCCATCAGCTGGTGCCTTTGCAGAGAGATTCCGTCTTCAGGACAGCTCTGCATCTGCCGTTCCAGTCGGGACAGCGAGAGGAGGCGATGGTTGAGGAACACCAGCAAAACAAGTTACCAGAGGCACTGGTGTGATAAGAGCAGTTACCGTGGGCTTGGCTGGACAACAGAAACCAACGCTGAACAGGGCTCTGCCTGCTCGCCAGCACATGTACAGCACAGCCGGGATGGACGGGAGGGGAACACTGGGAGCTGGAAACTTGCACCTCGTTTTCCACAAGCTACTGGCTAGCACTTGGCAGCTGATATTTTTCCCTTCCTGCTGCCGTTTGCATGCCTTGCTTAAACATCTAAGCCCTTCGATCGACTTACGCCAGATTGGCTTCATGGAGTTGGTCAATAAGGACCAGGCCCTGGACCTGCTGCACTGCAAAATCACAGCAGTCTGAAGGCACCGCTGGGTATTCTGGCAACTTCAACAGCAGTGCGAAGGAAAAGCAGCGCAGCCCTGAGTCTGGAGCAGGCACAGGCTCCTCCACGAATGTGAAAATCAGCAGCGAGGGTATGACTACACCAATGTTTACAGCAGTGACGCACAGTGGGACATGCAGCTAACAGCAGTCCACAGGACAGTCATCAGAACATCTGGAAGCCCCTGCTAACAAAGATCTCTGACTTAGCACAGGCCTTCTACAACTGCTTTTGTCAGGTTCTTAACCTTACCCTTATTTAATCTTGCAAAAGCACAAGCATTAGGATAAAAATTTATTTTTCCACCACTGTTGTTAAACCAGGCAAGTAAATTTTTGTGGTGAAAATGCAGCTAACAGCTGCCTCACTTGCGCAGTGTATTTGTAATTCTGTGCAGACACCCCAAGCAAATCCCACACAGGGATCCTGCTGCCACAACACACCATTCAGTCAGGAAACCTTCCTTGCTCTGTTCTTCCCACACAAGCAAGAAGGGACGAGCAAACGGAAAGAAAGAAGGTCTGTTCCTGAAACATTAAAATGCTCAACTGCTGTCCTGTTCCAAACCCATCTCTCTCCTCCTTTGTCCATCAGCTGAAGAACCTGTGTGCCCCTGGGGACCTGGCTGGAAATAAATAAATTGCAATCATGTGAACTTGCTCGCATTCGAGATTTGTCTGCACAGTGCTCACGGGCCCCAGCTGTAGACTTGGGGCCGGAGCAGTGGCAAACGCCGCAGCCTCCCTCATCCACCAGCAGCCCCTCTGCCCATCCTCCAACACTGCCCTGGGATGGCTCTTACCTGACAAAAAATAAACTAACTACCTGCACCCAAAGCCCAGCTTGTTCTCCAGAGAAAGCCAACCTGCCTGCCAGCCATGACCTCCAACAGCCTGGCAGGGCTGGCAGCATCACAGGGGCCTTCGGTGGCAGCACCAGTGGGACCCCATGGTGTGGTACAGGACAGCACACAGAACTAAAAGGGGGCCCGCTGTCATTGCCCGCTCTGCATCTTAGCTTTGGCAGCAGCCAAATAAAAATCCAGGTCCTCAGACACTGTACTCCAGGAAGCAAGGTCTAAGCAAAGTGTTGAAAAATTCAAATATTTTAATGTATTTTTTTTTTTAAACAAGCAAATGAAGCTTCAGAACAGGTCCCATCATGTTTTGCTTTACAGAAAGATGTCCACAGATCCATTACATGAAAGCAGCTGACATACAGATAAACTTAAAATCCTCCAGCCACGTGTACATACAGCTTACTCAACGGCAGGCTCCATGCAGGACACAGTTGCTCCTGGACAAACACTGTAGTTGCAGCACAGAAAGAAAAGCTTCATGTCTTATCAAAGCAGGATGAAGTGGGATCCACCTCACAGCTTAAGAGGAGGCTGTATCCCCAGGCCTTCCAAGCCCTAATCATGCTCCAAATATACCCTGGACAGGCTTGCAGCTGCACCATATCCTCCCCCTGCTGCTGTCAGCAACACAAGCCCAGGGCTAAAACAGGCAACTGCTAACCTGTCACTCCACATCATGCCTGCACTACCCCAGGGGCTGCTCGCATGACCTAACACTTGTCTTGCTCAGAACACGCAGGATTACAAGTGAAGTATCTAAAAAAGTTTTGGGGTTTTTTGTTTGGTTTGGTTTTTTTAAGCAAGATGTCAGGAAAAAGGTGTAAAGGAAATTCCGTGGCAATACTAAGGCAAAGCCATAGGTTTGGCACGTCCAATAAGCTTGTTTTACAGCTCTTATTCTGTTCTGGTTTAATACCTCGTTAGAATAATAAGTCATTAGTTACCTGACAGAGAGAAGAGTCTGTGGTTACACTTAACTAGTCCCTAGTGTTCAGACTGAGGATATAAAACTGTCTGGAAAAGGGTTTGGTTTTGTTTTTCTGGAAGTTTATTTCAAAAGTGTGCAAATGGGATACATGGATAGCACTGTAATTCTGGAACACCTGATCCACAGATCCCCGACAGCCCTTCTGTCTGCCCCCCACCCTCCCACCCCCACCCCTCAACACTAAATTAAAGATCTGGGACGTATCAACAATCCAACTAGCTAGCGGAGACACGGAGCTCAGCTTGCCCGGTGTCTGCAGGCAGGGAAATAAGGCTTCTCTAGCTCACCCACAGCTCAACATACGGCGCTACCACGGGAACTAGAAAATAGCATTTACTTAAACGCTGAGGGTGGCTCGATGTGCTAGGGGCTGCTGTGCTTTCCCGCATGCGCACCCATCCTCTGGGGATCTTGAGATGGGTAGTGAATGGGGCCTGGGGCTCTCATGAAGGGAGGCGGGGGTCCCATGGCGTGGAACATATGTGGTCCAAAACCTGCAGAAAGTAAGTTGTCAGGTTCAGACAAAGCAACAGAAAAACCATCGCTGATGTACTACTGCTCAAAACTACCAACAGACCAGCTGGCTTACAGCTGTGCCTTAGAAAAGTGCACATCTCTCATAATTCCTCAAATCCCCAAACTCCTTCCCCTCTTTCCAGTACAACTGCGAACAATCCTTACCCAGCGCACATCCTTACTCACAGATAAAAGCTGCTGGGGGCACGGGACAGGTGTCTGCAGTGCCAATCTAAATGCTTTCCACTCAACTGTGGAGCAAAGCAAACACATCCACAAGAGTCTGACATCCCATAAAAAACGGGTCTCGGGATAGATATAACACACTGCCAAACACAGGCAGGCATTCAACCAGCTGCAGAACCACCCTTTGAAGTTCAGGTTAATGTGGCATTTACGCAGCCAGCAAAAGCACTGAGTGGGTCTCAGTACCAGTAACAGGGATCTCTGAGATGCCTGAGAATTTGCAAGTGAACACACTGCAACAGGCAGCTTGGTTTAATTAAACTGTGCTGACAGCTCATTTAGATCATCTGTTTATATTGCATGATCAGGGATGAGGAAAATCAACTCACGGCATGCACCAGCGCTACAGCGCAGCTGAGCAAGGAGGACTAGATCGTCTAACACAACGTCAGAGACCCCACGTGAAGGGGAAACACAAGTACCTGGGGGTGGTGGCGGAGCAATGCCAGGAGGAGGTGGCAAGGCAATGTTAACCACGGCTGGAGGGCCACTCGGAGGTAAGTTGAAGTAATTTGCAGAAGCCTCCTCTTCTGCAGCTGGAGGAGGGGGGAGAGCTGCAGAAAAAGTACATGGTGGTTATGGAAAATGTCTTGGTTAATATACACAGAGGTATCTGCCTTCAGAGAGGAGGCACAATCAGTTCCTCCACAGGGCAAACTGCTGCTACTATTGCATGTATGAACCAGAGCGAGAAGCAGGACAGCACTGAAACTCCAGTCAACATTTTTCTTCACCTGAAACCAGCTTTGCTTTTTCTGTCACACAACACTCAGTGGACTAGGAAAACATTAACCAAGCCTTGAAAAGCGTGGGTTGCCAGTATCTTAGACCTAAGTAACTTTAATTCAGCATTAACTTTTCACTCAACACATAAAGAACACTCATCAAAAAATTGCTTCTAGACAAAGCTCACCTTCCATCCCAGCTGGATCTGCTGCAAACTTACTGTAAGCATCTGCTCTGAGCTCACCACTGCCTCTGCTGTCCTGAACTCTGCTACTGCTCTCGGAGGCTCAGCACCAGCCTCTCTCATGGAAGCAGGTCAGCTTTAAATGTTTCAGAGGTGAAAACAACTCCCTTACCTCCAGGAAGTCCTGGAACTGGCTCCAGCTTTATCCCGGATTCTGTAGTGCCTTCCTTGTCCTTTTCTTTTCCTCTTGCTGCCTGGGACCTAAAAACCAGAGAAAAGTTTGAGAACAAGGATGAGAAAAAGCAGGATAAGCAGATACTCGCATCACAATGTTTTTACATTATCTAATCCAGATCCATTGCTTCAGGCCAAAGACGAAAAATTCACAGAACATCAGAGACAGCTGGTACAAAGTGTGCAAACAATGCTTACAGGAAATAGATTCAAAGCAAAACTACAGAAATTCATCCATAACCCTCAACCAGGAAATCCCTTACACAATTTGTGTAATCTCCAACCCAGATGCCACTGCTGAAAGAAAACCAAACTGTAAGAGGACCCCAACTATTTACCAAATCATGATCTACTCCAGTGTAACACATCCAAACCTGCTCATCAAGACTGCGTAAATCAAGTGAAGGA